TTACAATATTCAGTCACAAGGGAAGGGATATTGGAGTAGAAATTGAGAAATGTTTGTTTGAATTGGGAATTAATAGGGTGTTTATTATTATAGTAGACAATGCTACTTCTAATGATGTTGCTCTATTATACTTGAAGGAAAAAAATTTTAATTGGGACTTTTCTATTATGAAGTGCCAATTTTATATATGAGGTGTGTTGCTTACATTGTAAATCTAATTATTGTTGATAGGTTGAGATTAATAAGAAGTTTTGTGAAGAGAGTTAGGGAGGTTGTTCAGTTTGTTAGGCAATCTACCCTTGAGATGAAAAAGTTTAAGAAGAGTTGTGAGAATTAAAAGATTCAAAGTAAAAACCTTTTGACTCTAGTTTCTCTACTAGGTGGAACTTCACTTATTTAATGTTGAAGACTGCTCAAAAATTTGAAGCAGCTTTTAAGAAATTTGAGGACAAAGACCTTTATTTTTGCATTAATCTTGAACAAAGGGAAGGGATGCCTGAAGCTTCTGATTGGAGAGATATTTGAAGGATTTTGATTTTTTTAGTCATTTTTATGAGATGACCTTGCGTGTTTTTGGTGCTTTCTATGTTACATCCAATAGCTTGTTTTACGAGGTTTATATGATATATCACCTTTTGGATGAGTGAATAAAGAGTGATGATTTTAAGCTATCATCAGTGGCTTTTAAAATGAAAGAAAAATATGACAAGTATTGTATGAGATGACCTTGCGTGTTTCTGGTGCTTTCTATGTTACATCCAACAGTTTGTTTTATGAGGTTTATATGATATATTGCCTTTTGGATGAGTAAACAAAGAGTGATGATTTTGAGCTATCATCAATGGCTTTAAAATGAAAGAAAAATATGAAAAATATTGGAGAGATCCTTCAAAGATGAACTAACTCATTTATATTGATGCTATTCTAGATCCTCAATATAAGTTGGAATGGGTTCAATTTGCTCTTCGTAAGATGTCTAATGGTGAAGTTAGTGAAAATTTGGCAAACTAAGTTAAGGATGTTTTCATTGCTTTATACCATGAATACAAAGAACATATCTTTCCCTCAAGGCAATCTAAAAAGGAGCAGCTTACAGATGAAATCTAAGCTGATTTTGATGATGATGACGACCTTGATGTGAAAGTTATAAAGCTGCTTGAATCAGGAAAGAGGATATTTTTAAGTGAGCGCTTTGATGGGAAAACTAATAGGATTAAAATTGATAAATATTTGAATGAAGAAATTAAAATAGATAAAGCTGACTATGATATTTTAGATTAGTGGAAGTTGAATGGTCATAGATTTCCATTCTTTCAAGGTTGGCAAGAGATGTTTTGACGATACCAATATTAAAAGTTGCTTTAGAGTCCACATTTAGCACTAGAGGATGTGTTTTGGATGCGTGTAAGAGTTCTTTAACTCCTAAAGTTGTGGGAGCCCTTTTTTATCCTAAAGATTGGCTTCGTCACTCTATTCTTGTAGCTGTAGAAGAGAAATTAGATGACATTCAAAAGATTAAGAGTGGTAAAATTTTTAATGTTATGTATATGCTATGTTACCTTTAAAATTCATTTATTTATGATTTAGTTTAACTCTTGAGCTAATTTATTTGTAGATCTCCAAAGAATTGGATTGGAATTAGCAATTGAAATAGTGCGAACTCTTCATTATTTATGTCCATAGCAATTGGTTCATTTAGTTGTGATTTTTGTTATGTTGCTATAACTTTTGTTGGACCAGTTGTTCTTGACTTCTCGTTATTGTCTTCTTGTTGTCTTGTTGGTGGTTAGTTATGTAATAAGCTTGTTCATTTTCTTAATGGCTACTGAGTAAGTTTCTTTGTTCCATGAGAATAATATTTTAGCCATGTGTTTAATTTAACTATTTTTTTTATAATGTAAGCTCAAGCAAAGACTATCATTGGCAGGTGGCAACTTGCAACTTGTAATGGATTGGCTATATTTTGTTATTTTGCTTAATGTTTTTGTGATCACTAATGGAATAATTATTTTGAATTATGTTGAAACTTATGGACTTATTTGTAGTTTTTCATGAGATTATTATTATTATGTGATGGATTATTAAGACTTTACATTAGGTGAATTATTTTATATTATTATTGTTAGGTGAATTATGTTGTTCAGTGTCCACGCTATTGTTTTTGGGAATCCTTTTTGTTTTCCTCATAGTTTATACTCGTTATGTTAATTTTATAGTTATGAGATTTCATGATTTTACAGGTCCAATAATGTGTGATGTTCTTTTTGAAGATAGGCCCAATTTGATGTTTTAAATTATTTCTTAATTGATATGAATGTATGATGTACTTTTTTGGAGATAGGCCCAATATGTTGACAAAAAACCATGGTTATTAGAACTAGATCGGACTGATCGATTTGACTGGTTTAATTAATAATCGGCCAATTATTCAGTTCAAAGATGATGCAAAATTAAGGGGAGAGAGAATCGGCCATGAATCGACTGAACTAACAGTTCAGGTAGTCCTCATTTACTTTTTTTTTCTTCTCCCTATTTTGGTAAAACGATGTCATTTTGCCTCATACTTTTTTTCCCATTTTTTGGTAGAAACAAACAAACATAACCTAATCCTAAACCTCTCACAGTTCAGAGTCCACTTTCCTTTACTCCATCTTAAAGCCTCGAACACAAGCTGTTGAGGTCGCGGAACCCTATTAGGCGAGCTGTTACAAGATCAGTTTGGTCGACCTCCTACAGAACCAGTTCGGTGAGCCTCGTGAGCTCTTACCCAATCATCTTGTTCGTGTTCCTTTAATTTGACAGCCAACGATCTCAAAAAACGAGTAGCCTTTCCATTACCATTGTTGAGAATAACATTGCCTTCTAAACACTCTTCCTTTAAAAGTTGATTGATTTGGTTTCTGTAAATTCTCCAACCCAACTCGCATACTTATTATAAAGGTTATATTTTACTTGTTTGACTTATCAGTGTGCAATGTGACTTTCAATTTTTTTTTTAAAATCAACGTTTCTATCAAGTAATTATAACCTCAATTTGTACATTGCAGCACTTGAATTTTATCACAGTGAATTAGCCATCGTAATCAAGTGTGAAAGTATGTATGTGCATAAGTTTATTTGTATACGTACATAGATAGAGAGAGATAAATAGAGAAAAAGCAGTATGATGTATGTTCACCTTGTAATTAGTCGATCCACTATTACAAATCTTATTCATGTTTTTTGGGCGAGGAGTACAAGAAACGTATGTCATAATTAGAACAAAAGATGACAACAAAACAAAGAAGAATCCAATAATTTAATATGAGAAAGACATAGAATTGATGATTATTGCACTGAATTTGAATTTGAAACATATTTGAAGGAAAACAAAATGAATTTGGATTTGTATGACTTTAAACTTTGAAGTATGATGAGATTATTACTTTATTAGTAATAAGTTTTCTTTAATTAATTATTTTTCTTGTACTTTTAAATATATCATATTTAAAATATTTTAATTTATTTACAAATGTTCCGACCTTTGAATAGTGAACCAGTGCCTTAATTGATTCAATGCCTGATCCGGTTCTAATAATATTGCAAGAAACAGACCTAATGTGTTGATAAAAAAAATCCCAATAACCAAAACTAAACAACTAAACTAAACCATTTAACTTTTGTCTGGTTCAATTCAAAAAATTCTTAAACTTCAGTTTGTCAATTTTCTCTAATCACAATCGAACCGTTGTAATTGATACTCACTCCTAATCAATAGAATTAAATTTACAAAAAGAGACACAAGCTTCACAATATAATTAATAAAGATTCGAATGTTTACTTAAAAAAATATTTATATTTAATGCCTAACCATGCTTCAAACAAGATTATCTAAATTCTAAAGACATGGGTCATAAAAAAATGAGAGTAGGGAAATTGCCAAATGTGTGCGTGATTTTTTGGGAATCCCGTTTGATCAAAAAAATTTGGGAACAGGATATTTAAACAAATTCTAAAAACTTATATTTAAGAATCATAAATTTAAAAAAAAACAATGATCTTTTGTTGAAATTAAAATTTTCATGAATCAATCTTCCTATATGTTTATATTATACATTTACAATACTCGTTCTTATTATTTTTAATAATTATATTTTTCAATTTTTTAACAATCACATTAAATATTTTCAATACTTTATTTTTACAGTTTAAGTATTAAAATTTTAAAATAAAAATTTAAAACATGAAAAATGAATATTCAAAATATATAAAATAATTATTAATAAAAATATTTAAAAATATATAAAATAATTATTAATAAAAATATTACAAATATAAAAAAAGAGTACTTTGAAAAATTAATTTTAACTAAAAATTATTTTTTTAAATTTTAAAATTTTTATTGTTTTTAGCTATAATTAATATGACCAAAATATCTTTTAATGCCATTGTCCCCAAAACATTTATGCAATAATTCTTTAGCCCGGTTTATAAGGTACTCTGTTTAGAAGTTTAATAATTTTTTAATTTTATCCCTATTAAATAATCTCACTTTAATAACATATTTTCTTAATGAAAAAAATTACACAAAACATTTTATAAAATAATTTATAAATAGGACAACAAAAAATCTTCTCTCTAAAACCTACAAACAAAGGTGTTCATAGATTTGGTTTAATTTAATTTTAAAAAAACCACATCAAATCAAAAATTGATTCACTATAATTTGAAACATATTATTTTTTCTTGCAATCAGTTTGGTCCTATTTGATTTATATTTGGATTAAATTTAAACTTTTTTAATGAGATGCTCTTCATGTTCACTAATAGTTTTTAACTGTTAACTATTATTTGCAATAAAAAATCTTTTGATAACCAAAAAAAATATTTTTTAACAATTAATTAATATATTTAACTATTAAATAGAATTTATTTGGATTGATTTTGAAAACTTTTTTTCATAAATCTTGAATAGGAAGAGGGGGAGCAATTGCCAAATGAGATCATACGATATCCATTCGTTAAACAGATCAACGGTGGGTTGTAAGAAGTCCGGCTAGAGCCAGTAGATCCATTGGTATTCTAGTCTTCTTCCTGAAAACCCTAGCAGGGGGAGCACGGTTTCTACTTTCTAGTTTCCACCTCCCAGACGCCCTGGCCTTCGAACATCTCCAAAAGAGCTGAAAACACAGTCGAAGCAGGCGGCATACGAAGGAAGATCAACAACAGCGCCAAAAGCCATGGCGGCACCTGAATCTCCTGTCTGTTATGTGGGTGTCGCCAGGCAGTCCGCTGCTTTCCGCCTCATGAAGCAAATGGTGCCTCTCTTTGCCTGTCTCGTACTACTATTCTGAATTTGTACTTTTACCTTTCTGAATTGATTGGCTGTTTTGTTACATTTTAGGGCTGGGAAGAAGGAGAAGGTCTAGGAAAAGACAAGCAGGGGATCAAAGGACATGTTAGAGTCCAAAACAAGCAGGATACCGTTGGTTTGTGATAACTTCCTCGATGTTTGCTTCTTACTTACATTTTATGCTGCTGGTTTATTCCAACTTCCTATGCGAGCTATGCGTGGATCAACGAACCAATTAATTGAATAGATGGCTTGCATAGCTTAACTCTTATTTTCTTAATAGGCATCGGTGTAGAGAAACCAAACAACTGGGCATTTGACACTACACAATTTGATAATATTCTTAAGAGGTTGAAAGTGGTATGTCGCGCTTGCCATTTCTTTCTTCATTAGTGATTTACGCATTCCTTGTGCCACGTGTGACTGAATTTCTTTTTTTTATGCGTGCGTAATCTGAAGCAAGCAGTGCAATCCTATGGCACAGGTATAATTTTATACTGCAATAATGACCAGCAAGTTTAACTCATTTTTCGCATTGTATGAAGACGTGTTAGCCTATTTATGTTGCAGGCATAGAGAAAAAAACCACCAAGGTAGACACTGAGACTAGTGTCGCCAGCGATCATCCTGACGCAGTTTCTAAAGCTACTAGACCTCAAGGAAGGTCTGTGTTTTCCTCTAAACTTGTAAAATTTATGTTAGTTCGTACTCTTCTAATTAACAATTAACCAATATTACATTATTATTGCCCTGCCTGATTTTCAGATACAAGAGAAGAGAGAGAGGGAAGCTTGTCTCTGAATATTCTCTAAAGGATCTTGAAGGAATCCTTGTGAGTTCTAAATTTAGACAAGCCATTCATTGTAAAGATATAAATTTTTGAGTCATATAATCTGTTGCAATTGCTTCTGGCTGTCTGGGTCAGCAGAGGAGATGCTGCTGCATAGCCACAATTTTGTGCCATGAATATTGAATTTCTTTTTCAAGTGAATTTTATAGGGGCTGATGATGTTGTAGATTATGAAAATAGTGAAAGCAGTAAAATTTTTCTATGATCCATCTGTAATGAGGAGCTTGGCTCACCAAAGCCACTGAATTCCAAATTGAAATTATGAAATTGGCATTGGTTGATGCCCTTTTCTTTGGACCGAACCAAACCATATCAATTGGTGCCAACTACATGTGATCGTTTTAGTTATTAAATTTGGTTGTTCATGGAATGTTGGATCAATAAATCTTCTTTCCTGTCTTTGATTTAATGACCTGCAAACTCTTGCATGCCTGGTTTCTTCATTTTGAGAATGGATTTCCTACAGCCTATGGAGATATTGGCATAAAGTTCACAGGTTAATGTAGATGCGCTTAAAAAAATCTGTACTACAGCTTAGGCTCTGTTTTTCTATTCGTGAATCAGAGTGCTGAAATTTTGTTATGTTTATTTGACAAAAATTAGCTGGGGAATTTTGATCTCTAATTCATAAAATCCATTGGGACAAGAATGAGTCCTTGCAAAGAAGTTGTCCCTTGTGTTTCTTGGAGATAAATAGAAGCTTATATTACTTTCGATGATAAAGTTCGAACGCTAAGCTATTGTCTGTTTGTGGGACAAGATTGTGTGTTTTTCATTCTGGTATTTCCCTGATTGACTTTTATACGGTCATCTTTAACATTCCGAGGCTCTGTTTTATTTTTTATTTTTTGGTTTGATTTAAACTAGGTACTGTATATTTACTTTTGCTATATATTTGGCAGGTTAAAAAGGGTGAAGTGTCAAGGTCAAATGATGATTCTGATGGTGAGCTGGACATGTCACAGACATTTAACAGTCAATATTTTCAAGTTGAAGGTATAATCAACAGTTGCTGTAAAATTGTTTTACTGCTGAAATTATTAATATTAAATCTGACATTTTGTCTTTGTGCCTTCATTTCTATAATTTACTGGTTGGCATGAAAAACCTCTTAGTGTCATGTTCTGAATGCTATTTTGAAATAAGTGAAATTTTGCGTTTGAAATTATTAGCTCTGCTATATAAGTGCGCGCACATGTTCCCATACACTCACTCACATGCTTGGGTCATTGGGTGGGTTTAGAATGGATTTGATCATACCCATTGTGCTTGTGATATATTTTTAGGCCTTACACATGAACTGATGAGCATCTCATAAAGATTGATTTACCACTGACAATAAAGGTTCCACCCCCCCAAAAAAAAAAAAGAAGTCTTCTTCCAAGAAATTGAGGAATAGTTTTGTATATATTCCTGGCACTCTTAAACTTAGTCAAAAAAACCTCCATTTTTGAAATTTTAGGTATCAATCTGTTGATGCAAGGAATTGAGGAATAGTTCTGTATATATTCTGGGTACTTTTAAACTCATTCAAAAGAAGTTTCTGGTTACTTTGATGCAAGGAATTGAGGAATAGTTTTGTATATATTCTGGGTACTTTTAAACTCAGTCAAAAGAAGTTTCTCCATTTGTGAAATTTTAGGTATCGATCTGTTGATGCAAGGAAAATATGAACACGAGTAACTGGCACTAACGTGTAATGCATTCTTCTATCTGTGTTCTGTTTAGTTATTTCTTGGCCATACTCTTGCAATTTGTGCTTTTCCCATTCTCTGCATTTCTTAAATTTATCTGTTCTTGTTCAAATCTGACACTTATCTGGATCTCTTCTATATTTTGTATATCATAGCAAGAAAAACTAATAACATGTTTTCCTGAATGCGCTTAATGTTGAAATTGTTTTTCATGTTTCAATAGTGTATTTTTTTTTTTTCTGATGTAATATGCAAGTGAGGCTCGGAAAAGGTCTATTTCTCTTAGTTCTCTCAATCAGTTGATATTGCATTGCTGCAGAGAGCAAAGTTTGCACTATCCCTCCAGAATGGTGGGGCTACAAGTTTGGATTTGTCTCTGGTGGTCTTCTTGGAGCTGAGTCTGGGAGGAAAAAGTTGTGCACATCCGAAGACACAAGTAGTTTTGAAAGAACTGCTTTTCATGAAGATGATCAAGAGAAGCTCTACAGTCTGGTCCAAGTATGGATATATCTTGTCATCTGATCTGCTTGCTTGCTAAATATTATTTTGTTCAACTGAAATGCAGTTACATTCTAATGTAATGTAAGCTATAGAAAAATTATATCTACTGAGGCCTGATTGATTTCTAAATCCACAGTGTTCTGTTCCAATATAAACTATGCTGCCAAACTAAAAGATTGTAATAACGGATGCACAATGATTGTACGTTGACAGGACAAATCAACAACTGGAAAGCAAGGATTGGGCATTAAAGACAGGTCCAAGAAAGTTGCTGGATGCTACTTTGAGGGTAAAAAGACCACATTTAATGATAGTGATGATGACGATTCTGCTGATATTGGTTCTCAAGAAAAACAATCTGGTGACATACTTAAGGAAGAAAAGAGTGATGGATCCAGAGTGAAGCTGAAAAAGCTTTGTAGACAGATTTTACAAAGGGTTAGAGCTATTTCTGGTGTTGAAATTTTCTTAACAAGAGAACCACTTTATCTGATTTGAGGCTTAATTTCAGGTGCCTGGAGAATCGTTGAAACTGAGACAACTTAAAATTCTTATTGATGATCATTCATCTTCTGTTCTCTCTGATTTTTCTTCCAAGAAAGATGCAGTTGCTTACATGAAGCAAAAGGTATATTCGTCTAACCGCGGGTTACTATTGAACCATTCTATTGCCTCTCATCTGGGAGGGAATGTGATACCCACCTTTTTTCCTGTTTTGATATAAGTGATTAGATTGATGCATCTAATAATAATTACTTTGATTTCTCTCACATAATTAAATTTGTGAAAGGGTACATTTGGGATTCTCAGCTATGACAGTTCTTTAACAAAATCTTTGCGAGATGTAATTATTTGATGCTGGATATATTATTGAACTTAATAGCCACCTTTCATCCTGGGTTATGTCTGATTTTAATCATGTCCGCACATGAAACTTGCATTCTTCTTAGGCATGTATATTTGGACACGACATATATTCATTCCTACCGAGCACACCCCACCTTAAGTACATGTGCAATCCTCATGCTTTATATGCCAAGTTACGACATAATTGTTTTTAATTCCATTTGCAGCTGGAAGGGAGTAAAAGGTTTTGCATTGAAGGAAGAAGAGTGAGATTGGCATCTAAGAGATGCTGAATATTCAATTTTGCAAAATACTGACACCTCTTTCCTTGTTTTTTCGTTTTATTTTTGTTGGTTCTCTTTTCTTTTTCTTTGTTTTTTTTGGGGGGGGCGGGTTGTGGGTCGTTAAAGCCCATGACGATGCCTCTCCTTATGTTACAGCCAGGAGATTAAATTTTGTTACCATGGCCGTGTTTGAGGGAATGTTGTATCGGATTGATGATTACCTTAATAAACCATTTCTTTGTATTCTTTTTTCCCTTGGGTCCAAAAATCTTTCAATTGCATGTGTTTTCTGGAATATGGATAGTGGTGATCAATAGCACACTTGTATACGTTTAAACATGTCGTTTGTTGTGTGATCAATAGATTCGTTTGGGATCAATTAACAATGCGCTCCAACGTTGTATGGTATTTTGGAAACATTGACTGGAGAAGTGACTAGTCACTGTTGTCTGTTAAATAATTGAATCCTTGCTCAACAATCAAATATCTGGCGTCAGATTAAATGTTGATTTTTTTTGTTCTCACTACTAAACTAAAAATATTTGGGCGATCAATAATGCATTATGCTTTTTGCTGTTGAGAATTTATGAGTCTTTGTAAACATTACTAGGGTACTCAGTAACGTCCTTTGTTTTGTGCCATGCTGCTACTAACAGCTAATGATAGTCTCGATAAAATCTTGAGCATCTCGATAGTCTATGACAGTAGCACGCCGTGGATGCAGGTACTTAGTTAATTAGATGTCATTGTGCAGTTGTTAGCATATTAAGCGGTCCATTATTATCAGTTCAAAACGGAAGCCACTATTGCTAATAACGAACTCTAGGTGCACTGTGAAATCGATTTAACTGTTGTCATTGGATCAAGTGTTCTCTGGGTTATGGTATTATAATTTTACATCTCACTATATGTTTTTGTCGCATCCATTATGATTATTAACATGACATCCAAGTATAATCATATATAATCAGACTGCACAATCTTTTTGGCCAAGTACTTCCCCAAAAAGTCATATCCATGGAAGTGCAGGGCCTCGATTTCTGCTCTATTGCGGCGCTGAACCATTAAAGCCAACTCTTCCCTGTAATTCTCCTGTTAAACATAGCTTTGTAAATCGATTTTTTTTTTAACCAAAAGCTTTGTAAATGGATTACTCCCTTGGCTAATGAGAAAGTTGCGTTTCACCTTTCTGTTTCTATAAAGCCCATTTCTGGTTTCAAGTGGCGGGTGGTTTACCTGTAAGATTTTTGAGGACATCAAGCTTTTAGCAATTTGCAAGTCCTTCGGCTTAAATGGAACCAGAGATTGTTCAGGCAACAGATGTAGATCATCCCCTCGCAATCCCAACCACTTCACATTGCAAGCTATAATATGCAAACGAACGCAGTTACTTAAACAAAATAAATAATTAAGCACAGTCTTATTACACCATACAAAAGCAATTAAGCATCGCGGCAAAGGGATCTCAAGGTACCATATCTGTATGCCTCTAGGCCCATTCCTACGCTTCCAAATTTGAAGGTGCATAAAATAGCCAATCCAGCCGGATTCCTTTCATAATTTATGAGGGGCAAAAAGATGAAAATAAACAGTAGCATAGTAAAAGGGGGAGAGAGGAGGGATTGGGGGCAAGAAGCAATCGAATGACGCCCTTCACTACAACCTCAAAAGTCAGGGATAAAAAAAGAAGGGACCATACCAGTCGACCAAAGCCAGAATTGGCAAGTTAGGAAAAGCTAAGCTGAATCGATGAAGAAGAAATCTGCATTTGTACATAATTTTAGGCGCTAATGCAGTAGCTAACTTAAGTGGTAGCGTCAGGACGCGGTACATTACAATAGAAACATCTGCAGTACCTAGAAGCGATATCTGGGTAACCTTTGGCAGTGATAAGAATGCTTGGAATTTGATGAAAAAAACGATCCTCCGCAAGCCGCTGAAATATCGCATGCTGAACAGAAACAAACCAACTAAAAGTATTAAAATAGATTATTTTTCCTTGGAAAATTTTTTCTGGAATGTGAATCAATCAAAGTGCCTAAAGAAACTCACCTTCTCCACAATTATAAGGTACCGTGCATCTGTCTTTAAAACTAAGTTCTGTAACAAATTCAGGTCACCGGAAATTGCATGCCCTGAAGATCCAGATACAGAGCAATCCACAGCCTCTTTGCCTGGTTCCTATACAGTTTAAATATAAAACGGAAATATGGACCAAGCGATATTTGGTTATTTGCAGTGTTGCATCGAACATTGATGCAAAACCTTCCATGACTCCAGTATAATATCCTTATTTCACTCTAACGGGGGAAACGCAAATCCGTGAACGGAAGGTTGGCTATATCATGGGATACCTGCAAAATCAGGCGGCCTGCTATGAGTCCTCGACTCGAGGCCATGACTCCAAGACTGTATCGGCTGCACCGAAGCAATGCTACAACATCTGCTTGGGGCATTTTCAAATCAAACATTTCCAATTATTACGTCAACTGAAAAAAGACCGGTATATCGAAACTTGAATAAATGAGTCATTGATTACCTTGGACGGACCTGTTGACATCCGTTTGAGAGGGAAAAAGATCTGGCGAATCACAAAGCAACTTGTAGTAAAGCTCCCTCTGGGTGACACGCTTTTCCTGAAGCAATATCTGATAGCACGTCTCCATTACCTTCCACACTATGAAGACAGTAATCAGTAGAAAATTTATAACACACCAAAACTTAATCGACACAAGAATTTCTCCAAAGGAAAACTAGATCGAAGGAATATCGTACCCCTGACAAAGGCCCTTACTGCATTAGATCTCATCAAAGACCTTGTAGAAACGGAGTGGGAGAGGAATACCGATGATAGTTCTGTCAACACGCCATGGCTTACCCTGCTATTACTCAGCTTTCTCTCAACCTGTCCATTTGTTTTTAAAAGGATAATACGGAATTAAAAGAAACGGAACTTCCAAATCCTTAAGTTGAAACTAGGATAAGCTGTGTATGTATTTAGCCATGTTGTAGTTTTTTCCCTCCATTTTAAATTTAAAAATCCGAGAGGATAAACGGTTTCTTGTAGTTCAAAATTCAGACCGGAGAATCCATGACGATAGAAATGACTTCACCAAGAAAGCATAGTGATAATATTACCAGAGGCAAATCTGAGATAGCAGGATTAGGCGCATTCAATATTTTGAGAAAATTGAGCACCGCTACTTCGATTCTTGCTCTGGCCTGGATCAAACCTAGCTCAATCATTCACGCATTTGAAGCTCTTTAAAAGAAAAAAAATGCTGATAATAGGTGCTGAAGATGATTTACCTGAGCAGGAGGGAGGATATCGGCGTAACAGAGCTCTTTATCGGAAAAGAACCTCAGCATCGAATTTCTTCCGTACTTTCACTTTTAGCAGACATCTAAACAAATTCTACGATCGCAGTATATTGGCGCGCAAATCCATGAATCTAAAGTGGCCGTGATGGTGTCTAAACGACGACGTTTCATAACAGGAAAGAAAACCAAAAAATGATCTGTTTTTCATTTTTTTGGTATTATAAAAAGCAAGTAATGTTTCAAAAAATTGAACAGCACAGTGCCGGAAAAGCTCGGAAAACCAGCTGTCCATGGTCCTCATACTAATTGATTGGAGTGGTAATGTAATAATATAAATATAAACAGACAAGTATAAGATTGTTAGGAAAAACTAATTTGCAGCTCCATATAATTTCTTTCAATTTTGTATAAAAATTTCTGTAATTTATTTTATTTAATAAAATTCTTGTAATTTGATTTGTAAAATTTTTTATAACTATCTAATTGGATTAAATATAACAATTTATTAATTTCCAAAATTTATTTTTTTATTTTTTTTATTTTTAAGAAATAAAATCAAGAACTTTTATATTTTTACTAAGAGGTTATATAATTTTAGAATTAATTACCTACTTTTTAAAATTTAAAATTAATATAATTAAGTTATGTCTTTGAATAATTTGTATACATATAGAATTTTCATGAAATATGTAATAAAAATATAAATAGTGTATTAAATTAATTTTTTTGCCAAGTGTATTGAATCAAAATTTCTATAAAATTTAAAAGTGTTTTTGTTTTGAAAGAGTTAGTCTGTTTTCAGTTTCTAAAAACAGTTTTTTATTTTTAAAAAAAAATTTAAACATTCGCTTAGATAAGTGTTTTTCATTTAGTTCTTTTTAAAATTATTTTTATTTTTTAAATAAAAAATAGAAACAAATTTAAGTTATTTTTATTTTATTTTTAAATTTTTAAAATATATTATATTAGATTATTAAAAATTATAGTTACCTTAATCAATTTTAATTATTAATAATTTTTATTAACTGTCTATAACCATTAATATCAGTCTATTTTTTAATTTTAAAATTATTTTTTAATTGATATGACTAAACATATTTTTTTATTTTGTTTTAAAAATAATTTTAAAAATTATATGATAAAATAGTTTTTTTAAAACAAAAAATGAGAACGGAAACCAAACAAACCCTTAAAGAATATATTTAATGAATCAAAATATAAGAGTTTAATTGAAATAAAAAAATTCAGTGATGTAATTTAAAATTACAAAAAAACTATAGAGACTATTAGAGTAATTTTCTCTTAATCTTAAAGATAAACTAGACTTTCGGCAGACAAAGTTACGTGAAATTTCAAGCCAAATAACTTTAACTTTCCAAACATATTCTAAACTTATATGCATATTTGAACGCACATTAAAGAATATAAATATTAGTTTATTAAATACTTCATCTCTCCTTATATATAAAATATTTTTAATTAAATTGTGTGAATCAATAAAAATTAATTATCTACCTAAAAGCAAAGTAATTTTTTAATTTCCCCCCTAATAATTATAAACAAAAAATAAATTTCATTAGCCAATAAAATAACAATCTTGTGCGAAGAAGATCGAACGCTAAGAAAACAATTTTTTTTTTTCCTTATAGGCAATTGTTTGTATTTTATATACTATTATTTTGAGAGAGAGAGAGTTCTTACTACCGGAAGGTTCTATACCTTATATTCATAAGAAATTTAATTAATCATTACATATATAATCAGAATCTATATCTAAATTATTATCCTAAACTAAAATATGTAACTAATGAGCGTTTCTATAAATTTTATAAATATATTGAATTAATTTCATCCAAAAAAATATATTGAATTAATCGATATATCGATTAAAATCCAAATTACCCCGCGATTACCACCCTATATTTATGCACTTTAATTAAGACTTGTCGATTCATGTGTATTAGTTGGTAATCTATCAAAGCTAGATCATCAATATATCAACATTATTAAAATTATAAAAACTTGCATTATTCATAAGATGTGAGTGATCATGTGACTTATCTCCAATCACATACAAAGGTATCATAAGTTTGCATTGATTAGTTTGAACATAAACTACTGCAGTATTTATTACAGTACTAAAAAAAATTAAAATTAGTGAAACTTATTACTAATTACATAAATTAGTGATGAATATAACATTTTAGTCAAATTTTATAAATTTAGTGATTGATTTAAATCATCACTAATCTTTATATTAGTGACAGATTAATGATGAATAATTTCAATTTAAAAATTAGTAAAATATACTTAAATATTTTATAAAAATAAAAATCTATAATATACATGGAGAGATTCACTTAAAAAAATATCATCAAAATTATCAAATTAAATAATTACACAAATAATTTTTTCTCTTATTATAAGTAAAATATATAATATAAAATAATACATAAAAATAACAAATAATTTTTTATTATTAAAATTTAAATCCAAAGATAATTTTTTTGTCATATGAAAATATTTTAATTATAATAAAGATAACATAAAATGATATACACAAATATTTATTTTCATAAAATATATTAATAGATATTAAATAATATATTCATTAACTAATAGTAATATATATTTATTATACATTTATATATATATATATATATATTAATGTGTATATGTGATAATATATTTTATCAACATATTTAAATAATATTATATTAAATATGCAAAAAAATATGTTAAGTTAAACATAGGTGTCTAATTAAGTAATATATATGTGTGTGTATTAGATTTTATATATTAAGATTAAAAAGTCATTACAACTTAATTGGTAAAAAGTACTTACAATAAGTGGGAGACCTTGGGTTTGAGACAATGCAACTTTGTAAGTATAAAGAATTAAAAATAGATTGTTAATATAAAGGTGACATAACATGGAGATTCAAGTGGCGGCAGTGATGAAAAGAGTAAAATTTTTTTTAACTATAAAATAAATTAATAACAAAAATTTATTACTAAAGTGACAGGTTTTGTCACTTAGTGACTAATTTATCTGTCACTAATTTTAAATTTTGCGAGCACTTAAGTCATTGTAAAAAAAAATATGACTTAGATATTTAATTTTATATATTTAATATACTTTTATCAAAATTAAATCAAAACAAATGAATTTTAATGTGTTAATAATATTAATAATAAAAATTATTATAAAATAAATAATAAATAAAAGATATACATGTTTTGAGTTAATTAAAAACAAGTATATTGAGGTTAAATATATAATTTTTTCTCTAAAAAATTATACTTCAATGTCGTATATTTTTCGTTTTAACAGACCGATATTGTATCTCTGAAGTATATATTTATAAACAAGTTGGCCTCCCGTTATTTCTATATGATTGAATAATAAGTGCAGCAGGCATACAAGAGCCTCTGAAGAACTGGCAAACAGAAATACATGTTGAATTAAGTTATTGAACAAACAAACTATCAAATGATAAAATTTAATTTATATCTACTTAGTCGTCAGACTAAGCTAACAATAGGGTAATTGCAAAAGTAAGAAAATGTCCCAAAAAAGAAAAAGTGCACCTCCAAATGGACTTTGAAAGCGGAAGTAATGTTTGAATTCTTCGCATGAGAAATAGTTCGTTAATTTTAAATATACACAAATAATCATGTATTAATCTATGAGACATTAAAATACAAAAAGCTATATCTTATTAAAAAAAAGAAGGTATAAGGAGCTAGCTCAAATTAATAAATTGGAACAAACTCTTTCTGTTTTGAAGACAGATAAAATACCATCCACATAATCTAAATTAATATAAAATAAATAATCCGTGTGCATGTAAGAACGTGTATTCAGATATATATACTATATATTAAAGAGATTCAGTGTTTTCTTTTTAAGATGTTTTTAAGTTTATATATTGATATATGACTTTTGTTGTGATGAATATTTTTTTGTTGGTATGAAATTTTTTTGTTGTGATGAATATTTTTGTTAGCACATGACTTAATTAAATTAGAAATTAAACTTTTTATATCTTAAAACATTAAGATCAATTAGTCATCGACTCTCATCTTAAGCATTCGAGGAGAGGATAATCTGAATAGAGCTTCAAAAAGACGCATATATGCAAGTGCATATATTCATGGTTCATTTAATTACTTATAACTTTTTATTTTAACCAAGCTTTATAAGAGATTTACCTCTCCTCTTTCCATATCAATCGACTATCAACTATATATATGACTCCTGTCTGATGAAAAATTTTTCTTCTATATCCAACAAAACACATGTTATATTATACCAATTCAATTAAATAAAATTTAACGTGTCCTTCTTTTAATGCTTTACTTTGCAATAGAGTGCCTCTTGAATCCATTGTTTTTTTTTTCACTCCATTATCATTAGTAAAAAAATTAATTTATATTTACAATTGTTTGATATGACATATTTTTATTGAATATAATGTAATACCGATCCATGCAAAAATTTTGCCTGATGTGATAGGAAAAAGAAAAGAAAGAAATAAAGAGAAACCCAACTTTCCGCTTATAAGTGCAACTTGCCAAACTGGGAATATAATAAAACAATGTGAACAATCATATATATTTTAAAACTGAAGTCGGTTTCGGGTGAGGAGCTGATATTTTTTTTTTCATTATTTTATACTCAGAGAGGCTGTTTCCAGCACAAAGAATTGGAAAAAAAAAAAAAAACGAATACAGACAAGAAGTCTGAACCCAGAGCTCTCAGATTTTGTCATATGCACCAGATCCGCGTGGTTCATATACGTGCACGTCTTTAGGCCATAACTTTCAATCTTCGAATTTGTCTCTCGTTTTCTCTACCGCCTACCAGAACCAGACCCTGACTTTGGGGAAAAAACGGGAACAGGATCTAAAAAACTGGGGACGGGTAATACGTCGTATTGGATCTGTAACGTTTTGATAGTAATGGTTCGTCCCAAAAGTCCATATTCGTTTCCTTGTTTCTGTTCTTTTTCCTGCTCGAACAGTCACACTGTCGCAGGCCATGCATGTATAACGTACGTTTCCCTCCCTTATAGCATATCTTCAACATGCACACCAATGGAGGATCATTTGTATATATATGTTTATGTATGGATGTGTGTGTGTTGGATCAGATCTTTATTTCTGGCTTTGACCTCATCTAATTGATGTTGATGACTTCACATGAATAATTAGTACGTACCATAGTGATTCTGATGTGGTAGCATGCTTGCTAAAAATATCAGAACGGAGGGAAATTTCGCAGTATTATTGTCTCAAAGTTTTGATTAGTTTTGAGCTGATTTGAGCAATGGAATTAAGAGGGTCATTCAAAGTTTGATAGTTAGTGGTACCCAGAAGGAGTAGAGTGGGGTCACAAGCCTCACCTCTGGATGGTATATATTCATCAACAGCTTTTTCTCCTTCCCAGTTGTAAAAGTGACTTCGTTAATTTTAACTTTAGTATTGTACGCAGTTCATGGAAATTACATATATTAATGTCAACTTGTTCCAATTCATTACATATAATAGTTTAATAAGAAGCCACCCAACCCTAAGTGTGGGTTGGACCTTTTCTACAAGTCCAAGTCCTCATAAATATATACAAAATGTAACTTTCTTAATGGCCAGATTCAATTCATTGTCCCATTCACTCACGCAGTCGTCTAATCCCAAAGGACAGATGGGCAATATCGTCCAAGAAAGCACCGAATTTCTGAAAATATCGGTGCCCACTTGCACCTCCTTTTGACTTTTATCATTTGTCAACTCGTGTGGGAATGGTGTTTAAATTTTGGACTTTGAATCAATGAACGCAAATTCAAAGTCACTGTTTCGAGTTCAAAGCTCACCCCCTTTTTTCATATAAATAACCTAACCTCGAGTCACATTTCTCTTCAACTCTAAGCTCCTTTTTGTATAATGAGGATCTGACTTTCACATCAAAGTCAGCAACAGCCGCAGCTTGCTCCCTTTTCTGCTCTTCCCGTCAATGGATGAACTTGCTCGCTTGATGGACTGGGATTTGCAAGCTATTGTGAGAGGATTCACCGGTGAAGCCCCGGAAACAACCACGATCATAGACATCGCACAACCTAATTTTCCTCATTTCTGTTCTGAATTACAAGGTTGTCACGATGATCCTTTCTGCAGTACTTTTCCAGAATTCTCAGACACCACGATGGTGTTTGATGAATTGGGAGAGTTTTACAAGCCTTTCTATCCTGTTTTACACCCTCTTTCAACAAAAGCAATCGCCACGACCTCCGTATCCATCCCTAAAGAAATCAAAGAATCAGAGAAAGTACAAGATTTGCAAGATCCAGCAGTATCTCAGTGTAAAAGAAGGTGAGAAAGTACAAGTTATGAATCTTTCATTTTATAACCTAACAAACTTGACTCAAATGACACGTTAATACACGTACGTCTGCTTTTGCTTTTGAAAAGGGAATGAACTAACAGTTTATGTTCTATTTTCTGGTTTGATTGATTTAGCAAGAAGAACCAGAACAAGAGAGTGGTGAAGCAGGTGAAAGCAGATGGACTATGCGATTCATGGGCATGGCGTAAATACGGGCAGAAACCAATCAAAGGATCGCCATATCCCAGAAGTTACTACAGATGCAGCAGTTCCAAAGGATGCATGGCGAGGAAACAAGTGGAAAGGAGCCATTTGGATCCTGAAGTTTTCATAGTGACCTATACTGCACAACACAGTGATCATCACCCACCTCGTTCCTCTCGCAAAACCAGGCACTCTATTCCACATGGAACTAATCATCAACACGTTTCTTCTGATCCTTTGGAAGACTCTGTTGAGGATGAACCAATCGTGTCCAGTGGGTCAAGCCAGTGCTTGAACAAAGACCAATTGACGTCCCAAGATGCTGAAACTGGGGAGATTTTTACGGGTCATGGTATCCCACCAGCCAGTAATGATTGGTTTCCGAGCGTAGATGAACTTGACGGACTCAGCCAAGAATTTGCATTAGATAGTTACCTTCATGGCCAATTCTGAGACGTAGTGGCTGGGGCTCCTTGACCCACCATCAAAGCCAAAACCATTTTTCTTGTACGGATATAACGTCTTAAAGCCAAAACCATTTTTCTTGTACGGATATAACGTCTTCCACACCCTTATCTGATTTAACTTTACTTTCTTGCCATTTATCTAGTCTCGTGTATATATTACTAGTTTTTTTTTTTAAACCTTCAATCTTATAATTGGAAGATTAAAATACAAGCAGTACTATTTCTTGCTGCAATAGAAAAAAACGCACACGGAAAGTTAATATTCACAACTTATCCTTGGGTTTCTCAAATGCATACAACAATATTTCTACATCAAGAAATGACTTTATTATCATTACGTGATCCAGTATGATATAAACACGCAAAGCGTGGCAATAAGGACAGATAAGTTAGCATTAAATATAATATAAAAAAGTATCGTATCACAATTGATTTGACTGTCGCATATGATTAATTATATCTTTTGGAAACGGCGACGGTTCATAATAATTAATCCAGCGAACTCAACCATTTATTAACCATTACTTTGTGGGGTAGAAATAAATAATGATTTCTCAAGAGTTTTGGGTGCAAAAAGTCTATAAAAAAAGTCCAATGATATTACGTGGATTAGAATGAAACGTGGATCCTCAGAGCCATGTTAGCAAGTGGGTTTTTTTTTTTTTTTTTTTCATGTAATGATGAAATGAAAATGGGGCCTCTATATCCAGCGACTGCCCAACCGCAAGCCTTTCCAACTGTAAGGGAAAATGACATCTGCAATCTATTATACACATATACATATACATCGTATTATATATATATATATATATATGTATGTATGTATGTATGTATATGTATATGTATATTCTATGATCACAAGAACAAGAACATGATATCCTTCTTCATTAATTATATCCCATATCATATACATGAATTTGGTTTTGGTGCTCATCAAGTGATAAGCGCCATACATATGGACGGTTCAAATTTTGTAAAATTTATTTTTTATTTATATTTTATATTTGTTATAAAAAATTATAAAATTTTAATAAATCTATTTTATTATCAATTTAAATAATATATATTTAATTTGAATGGTTCAATTTAATATTATTTTTTTAAAATTTTTATAAGTTAACTATTCAAATGTATTCTGAGCACGGTCTGTTTAGAGTATATCTGGATATTTAATTTATAAAAAATAAAAAAAATATTAAATTGGATCATACATATTAAATTTGTATTGTCCAAATTGATGATAAAGTAGATTTACTAAAATATTATATTTTACATTTTAATATATATATATATATATATATGTATTAAAATATAAAAATAAAACTGATGAATTTAAATAGTTCAGATTGCTCAACTGATGAGCACTACTACTAAGTACCAAAACTAAACCCCATGTACATGGACCTCATTTAAATTTGACGTGAAACAGTGTTCTACAGTAAAAAAAAAGGCGTCCAATCTGAAACAAACTGTGCATCTTGAATAACATAGTCAAGCACTTGATTATAAATATATGGAGTCCAATATACCACCAATTTAGCTTGATCTGGTGAACACAAGCTAGCGTTTCATCATAATATAATAAAGTAACTGACTGAGACTACTTTAATGTTTCCATATATATATATATATATATATGAAGGATGTGATTACAAGTATCAACTGACGAAACTAATAATGTATGGCCTGGTACGTGTATGGAATTAAATAATCACAGTGATGATGACGATGATGATATTGTAATAGACTAAAAATGAATAAGCCAGCAAGCTAGCCTGGGTGGCATTATGCTTTGATCAATTAACGTGTGGGAGCAAAGCAGCGAGGGAAGACACAAAAGCAGCATTCATGTAAGTGGTAGGTTCAGAGTGAGAATAGTCAGATCGGACATCATTGAATTGGTCATTGGAATCAGGGCCTCCAACAATTGCACCCACAAGAGTGTTGGGATTTGGATTTGTGGAAGAGTAGTAATCGGACTGGCCATCATTGCAACCCACCTTGGCTGGATGATCTTTAATTGAAGGGATCGACGATCCTCTGTGATGGATATGCTTTGGATACTTGCTCCCAAATCCCACCATGTACGACATATTCATCGGATTGTTTCCTAGTATGTAGTCCACCTGTCGTCCACATTATTTTCAAGCCATATGTATGTGTGTGTATCAACTCATTATCCACATATCTCTCTATATCAAACATCATTTGTTGCGTTATGACAAGATTAAGACCTTCATATAGTCAAGGCATGGATTCAACACAATGACCAATAAAGTAGACCGTTTCTTTGATCTCCTGAAAAAAGTTTATTTTCCTTTGAAAAAATCGTTCAATATTGAACTGTCAACCTTCTTAAGTAGATTACTGAATTCCAAGTCTTTCTCAAACCGTGTGAAATTTTCTTTTTTGACCCGTCAAACCATGTGTAATGGGAGAAAGACTAATTAGGAGCATGGAGCTCCATTACATGTGTCAGCTAACAATAGGCTCTTCTATCCTAAAGGAAGCCTATTGTTCTATATGCATTCAGTGTTCATGCATGTGATCTGCCTAATTAATAAGCTAAGTTAGCCAGTTAATAATACAGTTACTAGCCCTTTCAAATAAATGAAAATGTATGCTGCGTGTGACAAATGAAAAGGCTTAGAGTAAGATTCATTTTCATGGAGTTTAAAATTGGTTTCTTGATGACCATTTAGCTTTAAGTAGGGCTTCGACAATATTCTCCTTGGAGAAATTTTTCAATATGAGGTTATAAAAGTGGCTATGCATGGACAAACCTGTGTCTTTGCAAAGGCTGTAATTTGAGAGGCTGTAAAATGCGTGGGGCCACACTGGATGCCATCAATATGATTGCTTTTGAGGATATTGGAGAATGTAAAAAGCACCATGGTAAAGCTTGTCACATATTGGAAATTACTGCTGTCTCGTACATATATAAGCCCACCTGGGAACAATAATACAGCCCACACTTCAGTTCCATCACCACCTTCTAAAATATTAATACGAATAATTAATTTTAAATTCATTACCAGGCGTGGTCCTGATCTGCTGAGAGTTACTTCCTGGCATCACTGAGCATATAAATGACTCTAAGTTACTCCTAAACTTGGCCAACTGGTCCTTCTTCTCACCGTAGAATTCCTGGAAATATATAATGGAAGAAAAAAATTGCATATATACTATAAAAGTGATTTTTATGACTCTGATATTGAAGTATATAAAATGTTATATAGTTAGCAAGTATACATACTTGTGCTAGTAATGTCTGAGCTCCAACAAATTTGTTATCCCAACTGAACTCAGACGCCACCTGACTCCAACCTTGGTTGCTTGATATGTAGTCCATGTACTTGCTTTCTCCACTGGCTTTGTACAGCCAAGAGGCAGCCCACAATAATTCATCCTTGTAAAGAATTCAAAAGGCCAATCATAAAACATACCCCTCTAATAATATAAATGATCTATTCATCAATCATCATTGTGTCTCGAAAATACCATGATTGCACTAGCTGAACTTTGTTGTTTTTTTATTTATTTATTTACGTACCTGGTAACCTGAGTAAGAACAGTAAAATGGGCAAGATCTTGAGTAAGAACCTCTGTATTTGTCTGCGAAATCAAACAGCTGAAAAACATTGTCAAAAGGGTTAGATTCAAGGTGTGGTCATAAATCATGAATGTACCTGAAGAGATTGATATCAATATATAGCTGCTTACTGATTTTGATTGGCTTAAGAGCCTTGACGAGTAATTGGCATCTGCTTTCCGGAAAACAATTGAAGCAGCAGAAAGAGCAGCAGCAGATTCAGCTGCAACTTCAGTTCCAGGAGAATTAGCATCAACCTTATAAAGTGTTCTAGGTGTGTCCATGTCCTCCGGACGCTCCCAACACTGGTGATCCGAATTTCCGTCTCCCACCTATCGTACACACGTCAATATATATATATATATATATATGTATCTATGCATGCATGCATGCATGCATGTATAAGACATCAATTATCAATGCATGCTGCAGCATGTGAAATTTAATGTGCACTATATTATGTTTAATTTGTGTACGCATCCGTGTTTGTTCATGGGCGCCTACAATCTAGTACATCAAATAATGATGTTATATGATCTCTTTCATTCATTAAACCATGCTTCGGTATGAAGTATATAAGCGTACGTCTTTGTTATAAATGCTATTAAAGCCATTTGTCACGACATTTGAGAAATGGAAATCGACCTGGGTGAAGAGAGTAGTAGGCGACGAGTGAGCTAGAAGTATGAAGTCTGAGCCCCAGCGAATAGCAGAATAGAGGTAATTGAGCTGCTTCACTGAATCTATGGCACTCTGGTACTCAATAGCAGCCCAACTCAATAAGCTCACTGTGAATGCCATAGGCCATAAAAACTTCACATTGTCACCTGCATCATAGTATCCTCCCACCAAATTCACCTGCCAAATTGAATTGACATGTAATGTAATTCAACATGCACATACAAATGATGAAACTACAGATCCCAAACCAAAAAAAAAAAAAAGTGTTACATTTTCGAGTTTGCCATCAGAGAGAGCAGAGTCTCCCCTCCACTTCATTCTCTGGGAAGAGGGTAACTTCCCAGAGCGTTGTCCCTCGAAAAACAAGATGGCCTTGCTAATAGCATCTCCATAGTCATAACTATCTGAGGAGCTTCTATTCCTTTCATCCAACATGGCTGCTTCATTAATGTTAACAAACAACGCAAACAAAACAAGACACCAGGCCAACCTATAGCACTTCATGACTGTAAGGTTATAACGATTCTGCAAAACTTGGTGAGAATAATGCCTATATATATAGACATTGAAATGAATAGGTGCATCCATGTGAGAAGGATATGGAGTACTGGAGATAGCGTCACGTGTAGTAATTAACTGCAGGAGAAGGTGGCGGTAATGGTGGATGAAGCTAGTTCTAATATATATAATTCATGCACTCAATCTTCGGAACCCGCTCCGGCGGAACGTCACATTGTGTTCCGTGTCTAGAGTGTCTTCTGCAATATGTAGATCTTTTCCTAATGATGATAATAAAAATGGTCTTGATTCGGTTATTGTTAGTTATAGTTTGGTTTGGCCACGTTTTATTTTTTATTTTTCGTTTTTTTTTTGGACAAATGTTTGGTCACAGTTCAAAAGAAACATTAGATACGAGAAAAAGGTTCGGCGGCAGCCAGCAGAGATTGGGTGAAACATTCACGTGGTGTATACTTATAGATCGAAAAGTGGCATGCTATATCATGTTTAAGTTTAGCATATTAATTAATTGCTGCTTGTGGGTATACAACTTTTTCCTTAAAAAACATTATTAATGCTTCATTTATAATAATTGGTTAATTAAATAAAATGTGCGTAGCCACACACACACACACACACACACAAAGAGACACACATTACACACACATAAGCGAGCTTATGTATACATAGTGTAGGTTTAAATGACGAGATGCTCGAGTCAAGTCTAACCAGGACAGAAAGCTCTTGGAATTAGTTTTTTTTTATTTTTTAAAAAAAGAACATTACTCTTAAGTCTTACATAAAATATTTAAATATAAAAAGTCTCTTTAAAGTATAACATTATTCTAAAATTTCATGTTATTTATTAAAGTTGTCGATTTGCTATATTATAATTATCAATCTATAAAATTATTTAAAATTGACAACTAAATAGCAATAATAATCAACAATTTTAATAAAAGACATGGAGTTTCAAAATAATTTTGTGAGTTTATGAAATTTATTTGTATTTAGATTCGTAGGGTGGAATTCAGGATTGATTTTTTTTCCTTTTCACTCCAGGTCATATGATTGTTTTTAATGTAATGAAGATGTAAACATTTTTAATCATTTGTATATATTTAGAGAGTGATATCAATTAAACATCTAAATTGCCATGGAAAACAAGCACAATACTTTGTTGAGAAGATAAGATTTACATGAGATTATAGTTCAAAAGGTTAAAGGGTAAAAATATCAAATAACTTTTTCTCCAGAGCACCCAATATCTTCAAGTAAATAAAATATTAATGAACTTGTTATAATGATGGTAATAATTTTCATTTTATTAAATTTGATTAATATACGTTAGCATTGACTACTTAAAAAAAGGAAACAAATATAAGGTGCAAAAATAGAAGAAACTTCTTTTTTTCTAGGAGTTTCTAATATTCTTAAGTCAATAGTGATATTTTAGTACTTATTAACTTTATAAAAAAAACTGTATAACCAAATTTGGCCTAACAAATTAGACTTTCAGGCTTGCACAAATACCTAAAATGTTATTTTATTTTATTATTTTATTTTTATTCAATTTTAATTTTTACCTAATTTTAATTTTATTTTACTAATAATAAAAAAGAATTTAGGTATTTGGGTTAAACTCAATTAGATTTGGCTCGGCAAAGATTTCTTTGAGCATATTCGGATTAGCCCATTGAATTTGATCCAAATTATTGATTTAAGTCTTTCATAATTCATTAAAATAACTTGACGTTAATTGTGAAATTCTAAAAAAAGAATTTAATTGATTAAGGAAGACGGGCCTATTTTATAAAATTAATGAATACTCATACACTATTGTCAATGTTAGGATACCAGAAATTCTTGAAGAAAAAAATTATGAATAATATTTTTGAACCTTATGTTTGTTTCCTTTTTTAATTGTTAATGTTAACTCAAAATCAATGGAATGAAGATTGTTGCACCTATTATAACAAGTTTATGAATGTTCTTACACCTTTATTCATTAAAGAATATTGGATGCTCATGAAGAAAAAATTATTAGATATTTTTACCTTTTAACTCTAATTAAAAACCAGTCAATATATATGTAAAGAAACACACTTTTTTTTTTTGGGTTTAGAGTAGAGTTGAAATTTGAATGTTGCTCACGTAAAAACGTTTTATTTTCAAAGGCTTTCCGGAGCAATCTTTGACGGTTGTGGGAATGTGAGGGAAATGGACAAGTCAAGTACTTAGTTTATAAAATTAAACATCCAAAAATACTGAAGATCTTTTACGTGCACATGTGAAAAACGCCAATCCAGGAATGCCAAACCCACTGAACTAGCGGAATATTACTCCATAGCTAGTTGCGTGCCTTCCAGACTTTTGAAATTTTTGCTATTGCCTGTGCCATCAATTACGTAGCTCCCTAAATGCCTCTTTATGATTTTTCTTTCTCTTTCTGTGAAATTACCTCTTCATAATATGCTACGTCACATGCCAACCTCTGAAAGCATTGCTGCAAGCCTGCAATGTCTAAGGGATCAGATTTTCCACCCCTTAAAATTTTATCCTATAAATGCATGGGATGCGTGCACCTACGCGCCCAAGCTTTAGAATAGAAGCCTTGGAAGGTGAAGTTTGCCCAATCCTCATACAACTCCATTGGGGTGTTTGCTGTTCTTTTATTTAATTTATTATTCTTTAATTTTATATTATAAGACACTTTTAAATAAAATATATTATATCAATAAATTTTATTAAATACACTTAACAACTTCATCTTTTTAAGAGAAAAATATAAATTTTTAAAAATACCTATTATTTAATATATTAAAAAGAGAAGGAATTAAAAATTAATTATAAATAGAGAAAGAATAATATTAAAATTAATACATTTAATAAAATTTTAATCTAACCAAAGTATCTTATATTTAAAATAAAAAAAAATTTTAAAATTTTCTTATAATTTAAAATAAAAAAATATTATTTATCGAATGTTATCTTAAAATTTTCTTAAAAGCATATTTAAGATTTGAAAAGTGCTATCCAAACAAATTCTATCATAGTTTGGGATGCTTCAGCCTCTCTAATCCTCACTGCTTGGTATGCCGCCGCAGAGAATCATCATCCATTGCCTTACTCATCCCTGAAACTCCATTATTGATCTCCTTCACTTTGTTAAAGGGTCTAATAATGGTGACCCTAATATGGATCCAAACTTCAACTACCCAACCATTATCTGCAAATTTCTCTAGTCATACAAAGAATTTGATATCAAATAATAAGAAATTGATATACCCAGAGATTGAAATATTAAGACCGGAAGCAAAAATATCATCTTAATAACCATCTATTATCTTGGTCATAAAATTATTAATATAAGAGAGAATCAATGGTCGTCTTTACACTGTAATGTATCGATACTTGATATGCCATTACAGTAGTTATTTTCTGATGATGTGACAGAGATGTAAAATCAGGATATTTTTACACCTCAAACTTCTAAATTTGTAACTCAAACTTTTTTTTTTTTTGGGTCGACGTAACTCAAACTTCTTTCAAGATACTAAATTTATATTAATGCTCTTGTAGGGTTTTCAATTGTCATTCCCCAATAAAGAAAATGTCATTGCGGTACTCTAAAAGCGACAAAATTGCTTCCCTCAAGGATGTAATGTAACCATATTCACTTTTTTGCCTCAAAGGTGACACTCTAAGAAAACATCAAAAGGATGCCAGTTTCACTTTCATCATACACCAAATTAAGAGTTCGTTTGATTTTTTTATTTTTTACATTTAAAAAATAAAATTTTATTTTTAAAAGTTAAAAATTATTTGGATAAAATATTTTATAGGAAAACACATTCTAAAAATATATTTAAATAATAATTAAAAGTAAATTTTTGAAACGTAACCATTTGAAACTTTTGAAAAGTTAATTTAAAAAGTAAGATGTTATTTGACCATATTATCCCAAATTTAATTTCTTATTTTTTATTTAAAAAATAGTTAATTTATTAAAAATATAATTATTATTTCAATAATAATAATTAGGTATCAAGTTTTTAATATTATAAATTGAATAATTAATCATTTTAATTTTTAACATCAATGTATAATAAAAATTACAAATCTTTATCACATTTTTTAAAATTGTAAATTTAAAAAATACAAATAACTAGAGATTAAATTTTTAACATTATGAATCAAAATTTACGTCATTTAAAATCTTTATCACATTTTTTAAATATTTTAAATATATTACATTTACATAATAAAAATTACAAATAATTATAAATTAATATTTTTTTAATAATTATATATTCAAAAGCACATTTCACTATCACAAATCAAATAACTTTCAGTATACCAAATTGACTTTTAAAAAAATATATTCAAACACAAATTTCGTTGTAACAACTGACTTTCACTGAACTGATTTTTGTCAAATAGATTTTTATCAAATGAATTTTTGACAAACTGAAAAGTAGACACACTAAAATATGGTGTCAAATATAGCCTCAACTGTAATTTTCTCAAAATTAAAACAAACTAACCCTACACATCATAAAATAAAAAATATAAATCTGATCTTTTTTTTTTTTTCCTTTTGCCTGAAAAAAATGTTATGTATACAAATCTGATCTACCCAATAAGTATACTTATAAAACTGCACTCGTTTCTGTTTAACCCTAAGAAATTGTACCCTTTTGCCCACTATTCTTCTCTTTTTCCCCTTACAGAGAACAACCGACCGTGACTGAAGCTAAACCAGAAAAATTTGTTTTATAGCGTACTAAGTCTATCTGATTTGTTTCTGGGTAGCCAGGCATTGTTGAACTAGTATAATCTGCCATTGATACGCAAAATCCAAGCAGATGATTAGTCCTCTCTTGCTAGCAAGAATGCTGAAGATCCTCGTTACATGGTGATAAAGACTCAACTTTGATATATAAGATTGTAAAGTCAGTTGAGGATATTCATCTAGAATTTCTCGGAATCAGTATTCCCAGATGCTTACAACTGGAAAGTGCCTAATTCATGGCCATGCCTTGTAAGACGTACTTTCCGGTCACCAATCCATTCTAGTCGATAGGAGAGGTCAAGATTATGAAGCAGTTGTTTTAAACTGTCCCCATGGCCTGGATCCCTAGCATTCTCCTACAAAAGATTAAAAACACTCAGAGGTGTCCAGGAGAGAGAGAAATAGATTTACGTGTTAAGGGTAAATGATCAAAGAGAGAAATAGATTATGTCGCTAATACAAGACAATGTCAATTAGTGAAGCTTTCATCTCAAAGCATTTTGACTAGGTGGCCGGAAATACTTTTCATGATTTAGATTCAAGTATTTCATATAATCTAATGTACTCCCTCCATTCCTACTTACAAGTCACCGAGAAGTTTTTTTGCCCATTTAGGAATTAATTTGTTAAATTATGAACAATTCTTTTTCCTCTCATAGTGCCCTTGGTATGAGTAGTGTTGAGTAAATATGAGGGAGAGAGGAATTCACAGAAATAATGAAGAATTTGCATTTAATTAAGGGTATTTGTGGAAAGATGCAGTAATTTTAAGGCAATCAACTAAACCAACTTTCTTGGTTGCGTGAATTAGTTAAAGATTACATATAAATAGGAATAGAGGTAGTAGTTTGCTTGATCCTAGTTTCAAACCAACTTTCTATCCTAGTTTTTAACACACAATGAGCTCTCTGCTAATCACCCGTTAATTGTTACTATCAACAAAATTAGAGATCTCGTTATGAGAGACTTGACAGTCACTTTTGATCATGTCTATAGAGAGGCAAATAAATACGCAGACTGTTTGGCTCATCAAGCTCCCACCAAAAATTTGAATGTTCCAATCTTTGATAATTCTCCCCCTAAGATGTAGGGATTTTTTGTATGTTTACATGATATAACATGTCTCCACGGTGTTCCCGTGGCCTTTTTATTAAAAAAAAAAAAAAAACCCACTTTCTATCATGCTTTCATCAATGAAATTAGGAGCCTCCAACTTTACAATCGAAATTTCCTTTTAGAGACCACTTTACTCAATTTATTCATCTTCCCTTTGATTTCTTATATCATAATGTCCCTGAACAATTTAACCTCATAATCAGGGGAATTCTTATACTAGACTTGCTAAAAGCACATCTCCTACACGATGCCATCCAAAATCGAAATGACCACAAGTTTGGTCATTATTAGAAAATATAGTGAAATGTAAAAATTCCGGGCCAATAGGAGACAAGAAATTAGATTACCTTAAATTTTGACTGGCCATCAGCTCCCAATATATTGGCCATTATACTTGACCTGGATGAATTAGGAGAGAAGCCCTCCCAAGGAGGAACAAAAATTACTTTCGTGCACTGGACAGGAACAAAGTTCCGGCTTAGTTTCTCCCACCAGACAGATCCCAACGACCACCATCTGATCATCAGCCCGTGTTCAGAAAAGGCAACCAGCCCCTACAGTTGAAAATGGGTAAGTTCTAGACGAAAGTGATAGAATACATTATAAAAGCAGTAATGTCACACAGCAGCATCTAGATTTCCCACCCAGCAGAGAAAATACTTGGAGACCCTTGCACAAACCACCAATCCTAGGGCAAACGAACTCACATGAAATCACCAAAAAAATAATAATAAATAAATAAAAGGGAAAACATTGGGCATGTAACTTAAAAAAGGGGGAAGGGTGGGGAGATTAATGGAACTGTAATCAATGTCATCACCAGCAATCAAAAAGGTAAAAAAAAAAAAAAAAAATCAGCTTCTAAATTTTGAACAGAAATGGCAGATACAGCGGTTCAAATCTTAGGGGCAGTTCCATTTACGTAAAGATAAAGAAAAAAGAGCCAATAGAATAGAGGTATCCCTCCCAAGGACCCTTTCCAATTGAAAAATTCAATAAATTTGAAATATAGTTCCACATTGATTCATCCAGCTTATATTGCTCAATAATGTTTGATGAAGCACTATGGGACACTTAAGTCTCTGAATAAGATAATCATACAGAATATATTGAATAACAAGAGTGCAAGGCATGAAGCTGGGAGGAACAGCATTCGGTCTAGTAATGATTTATAACTAGTCAAAAGCATTTCTCAAGACAATTGCTTATATTGTCATTGTCAATAACAGCACAGTAACAAAGTCTGGTGTCAGCAATAGGCAACAGCCTATTACTACTACACACATCTAATCAGATAGCCTAGGAACTTTATAGTTTGTCTATCCAGCTTCCAGCCTAATACATTCAGATTCTAAATTAGGAACCAAAGCTCAAAAAAGCCATCCTAATTTTCCACATTACCATTGCTAGGTGAGTTAAACAAAAACCAGCTAACTGGATCACTTGAAGAAAGAATCAGTGCATTCAAAAGTTCTTTTAATCATTTTGGGTGTTGGGTACCTCTCCATCAGGTGAAAAGCTTAGTGCTGAAATAGCAGTGAAAATTGTTTCTGATGCTGCTGCAAGTAAACTTGGGAGGCCAGGAGGCCCACTTGCATCCAAAACTTTTATCATTGTCACACTGCATCAAAAACAAAGACAAGAGATAACCTTATAAATGAAAGGTAATACGAAAGTGTACAGAGAGGTAAAGAGTAGAAACAAGAGTTCATATGAAAAGCCAAATAGGTCAGCTGCACAGTAAATCCTGATTAATTTAATTCCATCCTTTAAGTTCCACAATAATTCCATTTACACCATTCAATGGCCTTTTACAACCTGTTAAATGTTAGGAACCAGTGTAGTTCCCAAACTTGACTCAGAACAGTAAGCACAACAGCATAAAAATAATGAGCTCAATTTTGCAATTCCAGCAGTTAATACTACACTATATCAGGAAAGAACTAAGTATGATTGAGGGAGGAACTAAAGCCTTGATTTTTTGTCTATTTGATTTTGACCCTTCAAAATGGTAATTCTAGTTCTACCAGTGGATTTATCATGAATGAGATAAAATCACAAGTTGAGAGCCATTCTCTACAAGTTCATGTGGGAGACAGACCACAAACAATTAGCAGCTTCATCTGTGAAAGACTAGTGATATATTTACACCTCCATACTCCTATAACCATTTAAGTTCCAATAGTAAATTCATATTATGATACCTTTGCATGTCATAAACCCTAATGCTTGGGTTATTAACCTCTCTAATCACATCCCCAACTGCCAACCTGGTCCATGTATCATTCATAGCAGCCATAGGATATATGCGTATAACCTCCTTTAAAGTTGTCATTGAACTTTGGAAGCAAGTTTTCCGCATGACTGAGTTGCTAGGATCTATAGTTTGTAAAATGAAGCTGACAACCTGCAGATCTGTCCCACTGTCACAGAAGTTCATGCTTATATATTTTATGACATCTAATTAATACCAAAAATTAAAACTCAAAGGGATGAGAAAACAACAGAGCAAGAACATGCTTTACAATGAAAATAATATGGCCTCTCAAATTAGAGAATCCCTCTGCTCCGAACTACCAGTCACCAAAAATACAAAGAAATTAACAAGATCAATATGCAAATAAGAGTGAGGGGGGATAAAATATAAAATTACCAAGTCAAAGGCACAGGCACGTTATGGCCTTCTACAAAAAGAAATGAAGTATTATTTTCCATCAGCCTTCTTCTTCTTTAGGTACAATATTTCTTATTAGACTCTACCAAGGTCAACTTCAAGCGTTAATGAGCCCAATAGGATGTAGCTCTCCCAAAATTTCTTCCATCCACAAGGTTTGATCCCTTAACTTCACAAGGGATAACCATGAATAGGAATGTTAACAAATATCATACAGCAAAACTTCTCTTTCCATGCCAGTATTCTTCCAATATAACTCTACAAAAATATTTCATTGCACTAAAGAGAAAAGGATATTTGAAAATCATTTTAATAGTAATTGATACAACAATCAAACAAAAAATAAATAAATAGATGAACATCATGCTGGTAAAAATAGGGAACCTGTAGCACGAGGTGCAGTGAATAACTTCACTAACCTTGTCAAGATATTGAGCCAAGTTCCTTGGAGAACCGCGCATAACCCTGATGAGAGTCATCAAGGATACTAAGTGGACAGGTGAATCAGATGCAGTAGACCAAATTTGACTTTCAATCACAGTCAAAAAACCAGGTATATCAGCCATGGCTAAACTTGGAAGAAGAATCTCAACCAAAGACTGTTGAATAGAAACTGATACAGCTGGAATTTCTGCAACTAAACTTGTGGATGACCCGTTCAATTCTATTTGGAAAAAGATATCCCCAATCAGACGAGGTATCTCAGACCCAATGCAATCTTTCCATGTATTCTCCATGCCCTCCGCAAGAAGCTCGGCAGCAGTGGAGCTATACTTCTCATTCATGGCCATAGCCAACTTCATCAACGGATGAACAATTAATGTGGCAAGGCTTGGCTTCACAAGACTAGGATACCAGATTGCCAATGCAGCAGCAACAATAATGTGAGATGTCATTGCATCTTGACTTGTTCCCCCAACACAAGAAATCCAATCTTGCACTTCAAATGATTCTAACCATGCAAGTATGTTGGACTCCTCAGTTTGGGAGGTTACTTCTTGTTCATCACTTTTTAATCCTGTATTACCCTGCTCTTTACCTCTGCTTCTAGCTACAGATTTAATATTGGTTTGCTCAGTAGTGTTTAAATTGCGTAGAGGTACCGGGATGGCGTGAGAGGCTGCGCAATGAAATAAAGAACGTGCTGCCATACGTATGTGTTCACTCTCAGCTTGCCAAAAAGCCACCAGAAGCTGTAAAAAGAGGACAAAGATTGAAGGCACATAGTGTAGTGTAGTGTAGCAACAACTGACTTATAAATCATTCAATAACAAATAAACCTAGTCAATAGTCCAAAATGAGAAATACCATATCCAACATTCAAAGTGATTATTCTGGTTCCATTATTTTATGAAGCAAAACTAAAATGCTTCAAAGCAAAAGCCTGGCTACAACAAGAAGAATACAAGATACAAACTTTTTCAGAATTGCCAATTCGTGGTTCTTAATGCGAATCAATAAATTTGTATTCAGATGTAAGCAATTTACCTCTATTGCTTTGCTTTATATCTCGATGAGATTTTATGAGGAATCATAAATGTAGAGAACAGAAGGAGAAAAAATAATTAAAAAATAGGTTCATTATTTCATATCCATATATGCTTCAGACATCATGTCACACGGATTGAAATATAAATTTTAAAACTCCTAGTTTAGAAACAATATTTCTCTAGTTATAAAAATAGAAAAAGAAGAAACATAGTTCCCCTCCCTCCTCTTTTTAAGCAATCAAGAACCCATATAGTGATGCAGTTGATATCATATCACCACACTACACTAATATCTCAGACTGCAAATATTTTTCCTTTCAACAATATCAAAACTAAATTCCTGGATTAGCAACTCTTTGCCTTTTTAAGCTATGGAACCCTACATCAGATAACTTATCTCGCAAAATATAATCATCAACTAAGAAAACAAGATTGATTGACAAAGGAAAGAAAGCTGTAAAATTAAGAAACGGCCACATGGACAATATATTGACATGGTTAGGTCTCTAATCAACTGACAGACTGCGTGTGGACCCATGCAAACAGCACACAGCTTATTAACTAGAACAGATAACAGTCATTGGAACACATTACATAAGCCAGTGCATTAATGAGAGAATACATAATATGATGATTTGTAACTTATTTGACCATGTAGTAAAATATTGAGTTTTTTAGAAAAGCTTTTCAATCAGCCTCTTTCCATAGAAAAGCAAACAGCGAGAAACCCATTGACCAAGTTAAGGGGAAAAAATCTATATCTATATATCATAGTGTAAGTGAGTAAAATCTATCAAGCAAAGTTCAGCATTATTGAAGACTGCACCAGTATAATGCATACCAAGATCATTGGTATCCACCAAAATGATTTTATGGGTACATGAGAGAAATTATTTTATAATAAAATAAACAAGAGCAGAAAAGCAATTCAACATATTACAACCTGCAATGAAGGTGGCTTCACATCTGGAATTTTTTCTGTGAAATTCCGAGTATAGAATGCTGCTAAAGAACTGCACAAGATACCTTCGAACATAACCACAATTTCTTCCAAATGGGAGTGTTTGTCAAGAGAAAGTAAGGAAAAAAAATGAATACTTTTAAGCTGGGGATTGGAATATGCATTTAAGTCACCAGGCAACTTTATTAGCCTGGCGTCTAAGATCTAATTCACAGGAGGAGTCATCAAGAACAGTGAACAACAGGAAAGAACCATGGTAAACTTCATTCTAAACAGATAAAACCTAACCTATTGCTCGTACTGGAATATTCTCAATCTTTATTTAGCAAATTTACTTGAACCACTGGACAGATAGTTATATCTAGAACTGAAAAAAAGAATCAGGTGATAGACTAATCTGGGCTTTGGAAAATCCTTTTCTTCTTTTGGGTTTTAATCCTTTCTTTATGAGAGATTCTACATATGTTGCAGCCGAAAACACTAAAAGAGTTAGATAGGCTACAAGGGACACAAAAACCCACTAGCTAAACCTACAAGTTAACTGACAGATAAAGATTAAAATATCTAGAACTACAAAGATGTTCCCAGTTTCAGAGAAACCTTAAAAGGGATTAGGGCCAAGATAGCTTTCCAATAGTTCCTTTCATGTGAATATGACAGAGCTTTATTCAAAGTAATTTTCCAGGAAAACCTACGGTAATTTTTTCGAATTGGCTTTCCTCCTAAGTAAAATTAAAGTCATTCAAATGTAGTTTACAAGTTAACTGATTTGAGTGCTTTGATCACATATTGCTACTATACCTGCCAGCCGCTGAATCAAAGTGAGACATGCTAATCAAACGTTGGGCAAGAGATACCATCATCAATGACCTCATTGCACAAAACTCAGCTGATGATTTCCAAAGCTGAAATGTGGTTTTTGATGTCTCAGGAAATGTTGAAAGGAGAGATAAGAAAATAGGTCCGAACATGCAACACAATTCATCCAGATTACCTCGAGAACAGCACTCAGACCAGGAAATGTCAATGTTAAAGACCCTCTATCCCCCTGCAGACCTGCAGCTATTATAAAATTTTCTGGTCTCCTCAGTTTCATGTCTCTCATCAGCAAATCATCAAGCTCAGTGTCTACATCCCACAAATGCAAAAATGACAAGCTAAATCGAAGTAAGTATTCTTCAAATAGCTTATCACGCCCCTCTCCAGTATCAGTTAGGACCTCATGTGTTTCTAGAATTTCATGATTGGAATTTCGGTTTCGAATTTCCTGCTGCTTTAAATCGATAGTCACTGGTTCATGACCTCCACTGACAATGAATTCAGGCTTCTGATAAGAGAACATCAATGATGTAAGATCAAAACTCAAAGCCACAATACCAGGAAATGGGCTAGAGCATTTTATTGGGTGCTTCTTACTCCAGAGGATGGACATAGAAGATGAATATGCTCTATCTTTATTTGCTTTGTCTGCATGAGTTTGGGAAGCATTCAGCTCAGCCACATTTGAAATGCTTGGTGATGACCTAGATGAAGTGACCAAGCTCCCTGAAATGCTGGATGAGGATTTAAACCACCTTCCATCTTCAACAGTTGGGAGAAGTAATGAAGACACTGATGTATTTCCATTCAACAATGTGCCAGATGTGGAATTCATGCTGATGCTATCACAAAAATGATCAAACATAGAATGTGCAGCTGTACCACGAAGAATTCGCTCGCGGCAACCAGTCTTTACATCCCATAAGTATAATAGAACAGAAGTATCAGACGTTCCAGTATGTGTTTGGCAGAGACAAGCAATGTAACCTCTAGCTCCATCCCATACAACTTTTGTAGGATAGTTCATGTGACCAGGAAACATTCTCTCCACCTGCAAAGTTTCAAGAGAAACAAGAGCAACACATGAGTCATCTCCAATTGAAAGGAAGCAATTGCTCCAAGGACGATCAGTGAAAGATGGGGGAAGAATAATTTGGCGCACTGGTGCCACATGATGATGCATAACCATAATAAGACAGCCAGTGTCAAGATCCCACAAGCGAACGGTGCAGTCCACACTTCCAGACACCAAAACCTGATTAAAACTCCGGCCTTTGGAGCTACCCATCATTTGGTGAGCTGCCAAACAAAGTACAGCACCTGAGTGCCCAGAGAAGTACTGTTGGCATGCAACTGATTTTTCCTCAGTTTTGGAACTTGCACCATCTAAACTCATCCTCTGAAACAGATCAAATCTTACAACCTCTATTAATCCACTTAAGAAACCATATACAACAGCATAAGGAGCAACAAGGTTCTCTGATATGATCATTGAAGAAGAAACAATCTGTCCCTCGTTAATATTGTAATTACCTAAGCATTCCATACTAGAAATTGATTCTGTCCCTACACTATTTAACCCTCTCAACTGAGTAGAGTTCTTAAACAGGTCAGTGAACGATACACCTTCCCTGACCATTCTACATTGCTGGTAAAATTTACCGTTCTTATTGTCAAAATGATGTGGTGACCAGATAGTGACGTGAGGCCTCCATAGTAAAGGGTCCTCAAAGTGAAGGCAGACAGATTCAATACGAAGCAGCCAATGATCAACTTGTAAGAAAAAAAAGGATACTCTCATGTCTGGATTATAGCAAGTAGAAGGAATTTCAGAATGAGGTTCACATTGAAAAATGTCATTCTCATATGATATTTTATACACAACTGCATAACCTATATTGTTCCAGACAACAAAACTTTCTGGAATCAAGCATCTCGTTTCATGGCAATTTGGCAGAGTCCTTGCACCAACAGTTTCAAGAAACATGGCCGCCATCACATGTGCTTGACTAGAATCCTCATCAGAACATAAAAGATTGTCCGAAAAAGAAATCTCTCCCAATTTTGTATCACTAGAAAGTAACCTGAATATGCAGTGGTCTTTTAACACAAAAGCAGCAACATTCCCATGGGTTGCAATTGAAATAATTTGCCGTGCACCACTCAATCCCTCAGCCCAAACAGAACTTTCCAGCTGAGATGTATCTTTGTGCAAACTAGCAAAGTTTTCCCCCTGATCATGAGGATCCTTCAAAACGGAAACCATTTGTTGCTTACCAACTGAATCAGCCACAAATATAGAATGCCTCTCTTTATCATTATACACTGAAACTGCAGCCATAAATTTCATGGGGCCAATAGATAGATTTCCATGAAAGACGGTTTGTGTAATGGTAAGCGAATATGTGTCAACAATAACGATAGTGCATTTCGGAGGCTTCCTAGGCTGAGTTTCTCTATCAATCACAGAATAGTGGTCTGACAAATTGACCGTGTCCATGAAAGAACAACCAATACATGCATATCTTGCTCTTGAAGGCAGTGTTCGAATCATGCACGGACTGCCCACCCAAGGAGGCAATTTCCTCCTGCACCGGCAATGACCGCTGCTTCTACTCCATACACACAAGAAGCCATCGGTACATGCACTTATTAATGCATTAAAATTACTCGAACGGCCTGCATCTTTTTCGGCTATTGTAGGACTGCAAGTTCCAATATCAGTGATCGGTGCAGCATGACCACACAAAACACCCACTGCTTTAACTTCCTACAATGACAGGTTCACTCTTAGCTTAGAGCAAGACTTCGAGGCTTTTTAGTTCGCATCAAAAAGCATCATATTATTGCAGGAATACATACATTCTACGCTTAATTGCGGCTGAGAGCAATTAAAATGGGAGTGGCAAAAATACAGCATCTCGATAATTTAAGTCATAATTTATGCATAAGAAAATAAAAGCCAAACAGTGATAAAGAATGGAAATACCGGGCTGGAATAACTATCGGAGAGGGCCCACCAGATGATGGAGCCATCGGATCCACCAGTATAGAAGGATGGCGGCTGACTAAAACTGGCAACGGCGGTAACTCTGTGAGGTGGGGGCGTGCCAGACCATATGCACGCTACGGATCGGCACCTCATGATTCACTTCAATTCACAGCGTGCAAGCATTTTATATGACGAAACTTGGTGAGCCAACTCAGCGCTAAACAAGCTGAGTCGGAGGGCTTTCAACGAAGTCGAGGACGACACTGGAGATGGCACCACCAAGGCACCAATCTATCAATCAGCTCTCTTTTCCAAATGGGCTCGAGCTCTCAGAATTTGATTTCCGGTTGGCAAAGCATTTCGTTTCCATTGTGAACATTCGACAGAATATCAAGTGAATAATGAAAAATTAATTATTGATTATTGATTTCTTAAAGAAAGAAAACGAGTTTTATTTGGAATTACATCGAGAAGCAGGTAGGGAATCTTGGATGAGGTGGAGGTGGAATCACCCATGGAATGATGTGCGCCGTTGATCGAGTACTGCGGGATATAAATATACGGTAAGATTTGGGAAGCTTAGATGCTAGTGTTCCGAACAGGCAGTTAAAACATAACCTAAAGTGCGATGGCTATGTCCGGGGCAGACCGGCCACAATAGTGGAAAACATTGTATGGCGTAACAAAAAATATGGAGAAAATGAAAGGGAATAACCTCAATCAGGCACTCAACAGGAGGGGGTGTTAAAAAAAAAGTCAAAAACTGCATTTAGGCCTCAAATGTATTTTGAAATTGTTCTGGAGGCTCAAGGTTTTTTTTTTTTTTGGCAATATGTTTTAGGGAAAAACAAAAGATAAAGCTGTCCTTAATTAAAAAAAGGCAACAGATACAAGTTCATATTTTTTTACAACTATATATTCATGAATTTATAATTTTAAGTTTATAAATTAACAAGTAATTATTTATTGAAAGTGAAATTTTTTGTTTAAGGTTGGCATATTCATCTTGAGAAATTTAATAAATTTATAACTTAAAGTTTGAATATTTATAAGTATAAGTTCATCTATTTACAAGTCAAAATTTAAAATTTTATGATTTTATATATTTAGAATTAAGATTCATTGTGACAGCTAGTTTAGATTTTTACAACACATGTTTATCAAATCACAACTTTATATTTACATATTAATAAGTAATTGTCGATTGGTAGTGAAATTTTTATTTAGGATTGACAAGTTCGTCCTAACTAAATTAATGAATTTACAACTTAAAGTTTAAATATTTATAAGTATAGGTTCATTTACTCACAAGTCAAATTACATAATTTATGACTTCATATATTCAAAAATAAAGTTAATCACAACAACAAGTTTAGATTTTTACAATTAGATGTTTGCAAATTCACGAATTTAGGTTCACATATTAACAAGCAATTGTCCATTGATAAAAAACTTAAAGTTTTTTGAAAAGTCCCTTATATAATCCAGACTTTACCAATACTAACACATACATTAGCACACAATAACAATATAATGTCAGCATAGTAGCCCTTTATTTGTTTTCAAAATGTAGGATCCCGACTTCGTAAAAAGTATGTTCAAATAAGAGGATTAATGGAAGTGTGAATATAATTTTATGACTTGAGAAACAAAATTGTTTTCTAAAAAAGTGACTATGCGTGACAGTATATGGCATAAAGCAACAAGCATTAGTTTTGTGCCATGCATCGCAGCTTGTACACTATGCATTCCAACGCATGTATCAGATTTTACTGTCACAGTAGCTTTTTAATATGAACTTTTGTTGCATGCCATTTTCACACCTAACGTCTAATTAGAATGAATCAAGTACTCACAAGAAACTTATAACATATTCTATTTAATGAGATAAGTTTGAATACAATCTAATAATTCAATCTAAAGGTGAACATTTAGGTGCAAAAAGTCACTTCTTTTTTTCAAAAATGGTACCCTAAGTATTCAATTCCCATTTCTTATCCCATTAAACTATTTTAGGTCTTAAACCAAGTCTAAGAGGACTATTATACCTAATTGACACATCACCTCACATATATCACGTTAAATACTCATTTTGACTTGTTAATGCCACATTACATAATTGTGAACTTATATGAGGCACAGACATATAACTACATACACACATACACTTATTCTACTTTCAACCATCCGACTTTCATATATGGGGCTAAGCCTTATCACATGGTCGAGAACCATAAATACACTTGACTTGTACAAATGAGGTCCAGCCTCACCATTTGATCAAGTTTCCCACAATTATACAATTTCACATAACAAATTCATATATGATATAAGTAAAACAAGTTATACGAAACAATATAAACTTGCTTGGATAGTATTTAGGCCTACCTACATATTTACCATTATGATACACACGGTGAGATGCAATATCATATACTCAAGCAAGTTCTCAACAACAAGTTCATATATACATTCCTTAATCAATTTCCTAACATTTAACACAGGTACTAATTTAGTTGAGTCAAATCTCTCAACACATAAAACAATCCAATTTAAGCCTTTTTAATTCATATAATCCTTTCTTTATAGTCATTTTGCCCTTAGGCTACTCAAATGACCAATACCTTCCTAACTCACTTGTTTACTAATTTTCTCTATTTTTAACCTAATAATTTAGGTTAATTGAGCCTATATCCTTAGAATTCAACCAATAAACTTTAGACCAGTTGTAAAATCTTAGTTTCACATCCAAAAGATCTTTTTAACATTTTTCTTAAATTTTAACTCCTTAAAACTTTGTGATTCAATTTCTGTACCAACTGAACTTAAAGAAATTTAGGTAGAATTATAGCACAAGGTTGTACAATACTTACCCGACAAGTTACTAGCCGAAGCAAACTTCCAATCATCAGATAATCGATGCCCTAGCAAAGAAACCTCTTTCTCACCCCTCAGATGCATTTTCCCCCACTTCTTGTTTTGATTTCATAAGCTGTAAACACCAGTTTGAAGTAAATTCTGTGCCATACACCGTGGTGCATGCAACACATGTTGCTACGTGTGGCACAGTGAGATAATTCTCATTGCTGCTAGCATATTACATCCTGAATTACCTTTCTACCATCTGATCCTATAACCACACCAATCAACATTACACATAAATTTATCATTCAAAACCATACTTAATCCACTAATTATTAATTTATCTCTAATTAACAATTAGTCTCCTAGATTGAAATTTAGGATGTTCTATTTTTTCTTTCTTACTAAGGAAAATTGTGTGTTTTCTCCTTAAAATTTACTTGCAAAAAGGTCTCTTAGGCCTGTAGAATAATTTTAAAATATATTGAGCTTTAAGTGCAATTTTTTCTCTCTTGAATGTCTAATATGAGATTCTTCCAAATAAAAATGCATTAGGATGGTCAATTAACAGGAATTTCATTAATTGACAATATTGGGCTGCATAAGGGCGAATCAATCAGAGATGATAAGGACATGTGAGTTTATTAATTGGAGAATGGGAAGCGAGGCCTTAAAAAAAAGGCACAACATGGAAAAGTCATGGGCTGAATACAACCAAAGGTGTCCAAGATGGCTAAGTAGAAAAAAGATTGCATTGTGTTGTTGATGTAACTCAAAAGAAGAAGATGTCCTTCATATTCTTTGAGGATGTGTCTATGCTGAACATATTTGGCATAAACTCCTTCCTCTTAAGCATTTTCAAACGTTCTTTTCTCCAGAGTTAAAAGATTAGATGCCTTAGATGTAACAGTCCTCACCCCACCCTTTCGAGTTTTTTAGACTGAGCTCTAATACTCCTCACAGAGCCCAATCTAGCTTTCCCCAAAGGTACTTAGGTTATTCCTTACCCTACCCTCACGAGGGAGGGTCTTTTGAAATCTTTCCAAACTCGAACCTTTAAACTCTACCACCTTAAGGAACTTGAGGATAAGTCTGGTACCATTGGGTCAACATTTTATGTAATAGTCCTCACCCCCCCGGGGGTCTTTTGGACTAGGCTTCAACACTCTTCACAGAGCCCAAGCCAGCTTTTCCTAAGGTTGTATTTGAGTTATTCCTTACACCACCCTTACAGGGTTCTTTTGGAATCTTTTCAGACTCGAACCTCCAACCTCTACCACCTAAAGAAATTGAGATTAAGTCTGGTACCATTGAGTCACTTGACTCAAAAAAATTAAAATTTAAATAACATGTCATGTTAGACAGTAACACATGTCAACAGCTTAAATTATCTTTAGTTATGTTAGATAGTTATAACATCCTATAAATTAACTTATGTACTATAAGTTTGTTGTAAATGCATCCACTAGGCTTTCAATAAGTCACTTGGTTTTTATTTCATTTCTCTATATTTTCAACTTGTCCTAGTTTAGAATTTATTACTTAATATATATATATATATATATATATATGTATATTTAAAATGTATGTAACCTGTTTATTTGATAATTTCCTATCCCTATAAACATTAAAAATATAAAAAAATAATTTATTTATTTTAAAATTATTTACCCATGCAAATTAAAATCTAAATATTTATTACAATCTAAATTATTGTGTAAATTAATATTTTAAACTCTTACCTTTCTAAAATTTGTGTGAGTTGAATTTTCTTTTTTTAAAAAAAGTATTTGTTACTCTTTTGCATACCAAGAATATAAGCAACATGTTTCATTTTTGCATAATTGTTGTACAAAGTTACTTTAGATTTTGTTATCCCATATTGCCATACATATTAGAAAAAATAGCAATCAAGGACTACTAGAGGATATTTATATTAGTCAAAGATCGATCGTTGCCAAAACTTGAATGTAAAACAAGTTCAAATAGACTGTTGTTAATTTAAAATAAATTATTATTAAAATTTAAATGAATATTTATTGATAAAAGAATAATTGAGATTGACAAGTATCCATTTGAGTTTCGGCAACAAGTGATTTTTGATTGATATAAATTTTCTCTTGTGATCCTTGATTGATATTTTTTCTATATGTTAAAAAAATAAAAAATAATTTATAATTCCAAAATATATTATACTCACAAAAAAATAAATTTAAACAAAACATGTTCTAGATTAAATTAGAATTCATTACCCTCATGCATATTTAAAATATAAAAATATTTTATTTTATTATTTATTATTCTATGCATATTAAAAGCATAAATAATAATTTTTTTTGTTATAGAAACTTTTACTATGGGTTATAATTTAAATAGGGCTTTGTCTATGTAAAGGAACTATTCAAGCTCACTAATTGTAAAAAGTGACTTAGTTAACGATCACTACACTTAGTACTGGGCAAACGGGCTAGCATTTTTGCGAGTTAGATTGGGTCAGTTTGCTAGATAAAACTTAAGGCTGCACAAATACCGGACTGGACCGGGTT